ATGATGGACAAATATTACCGGCATGTAACTACCAAACAGCTTTTTTTTTCAAAATTACCTCCCTTACATCAAGAACTTTTCAATAATTGGTTCTATATCTATACATCAAAAATCGATATGTTAATAAGCCCCCGAAATCATCTGGAACAATAAGCATATAAAGATTTACAAAAAAAAACTTTAATAGATAAAGAAGTAAATAGGAAGAAGAGAATAGTTTCGATTTAGAAGAAAGCGAAATCTCATGTGTCTTCAATTTGGTCTATAAAACGAGCATTAACACTATAGGTTACAGAACTTCCAATTCAAATACCCCCATAAAATTATATATACAAAGGACCTTTTATTTAAAATCCAATTAAAAGAATCTTCTTTGTGCTCTATCTTTGCTATTCAAACATAGAATAGGGGTGTTTGGGTGGGGTTTTTTTGGTTTTTTGGGGTTTTTTTTATTTTGCTTTTAGTTTCTTTGTGTTTCTGTTTGTTCTACTAAATGTTTTGTATGATTATTGTTTTGAAGTTTTAATGTGATTCTAAGATATGATATTACACACTGTAAATATAATGTGAACTATGTACTATGTCGTTTTATATTGATTATTAAATAAAAACTTCATGAAAAAATGTAAAAAAAACCCAATACATCAGTTAGCTTCTACATTTTATATCAAGCTGGATACATGTGGTTACTATGCATAATGTACAATGTACTATGTCGTTTGATATTGATTATTAAATAAAGACTTTAAGAAAAATGTAAAAAAAAACAACAATACATCAGTTCGCTTCTACATTTTATATCAAGCTGGATACATATGGTTACAATGCATTGTAACTTGTCTTTCTCTCCTACCTCTAACTTGCAGATGAGTTTACTGGATGAAGCACCATATGCCTCTCCTACAAAAAAACGGGGTCTAGTCATCCCAGCTGGTGTCTCTTGAACCTCTGCTGTCTCACTCGAAATTAGCGATTCTACGGAACTCGCGTGGTATCTGTTTGAAACCCAATGATATCTCAGCTTAAAGGCCCGACAGAGACTCTTGTATATAGGACCCATATTGCTATTGGCCTTGAAGTCTATCACTTGATATGATTGGATGGTTACAGTGTACACTGTAAATAATATTTGTGTATTTTTACCGTAAATTGACTGAGGTTGTAAATTTACCTCAAAGTTATTTTACACTAACTGTAAATTTACACGCTGGTAGTAAATTTACCTCAAAGTTATTTTACACTCACTTTAATTTTACGTGGTGTTTGTAAATCTAAATCTACCATTTAGGGGTACATTTACAAGTCAGTGTTAAGATACAGTGATTTTACTGGCAACTTTCTGCCAGTCAGTTTAAGGTAAAAATTAAACCTTAAAGTTATTTTACACCCACTTTAAATTTACGTGGTGTTTGTAAATCTAAATCTAGCATTTAGGGGTACATTTACAAGTCAGTGTTAAGATACAGTGATTTCACTGACAACTTTCTGCCAGTCAGTTTACGGTAAAAATACAATTTGAAGTGTATATTTACTTGAAATATACTTTGAATGTGTTTGTCTCCACTCGGCTAAATAGTCCTAGGTTAGATCCTGGCGAACACATAAAGTTTTGCTGACCTTTCAGCCGAGCATGGAAAACATTATTCGATAATGGACAGAAATTAAATGAAATGGGGTTTAACTGTTCTGCTTCTTACAATTGAAAGAGTAGGAGGCGTGACATGCAGCAAAATGTCCCACACAACCTATGTATGGCATATCACTGTCTCCATACGCCAGTTAGGTGCATTCAGATTTTGAATAACCTATTTCTCTAAAAATAGACTAATCTGACAGTAAATATATAACAGTAAATATTTTGCACAAAATTTAATATGTGGTCGAAGGGGAATACCCGATTTGAACACTATTTGACAGTAAATTTACAATTTGTTGTAAAATTCTATTTCAATGGCATTTGAATTATTATTTTTACAGCAAATTGTAAATTAACTTTCAAATAGTGGCCACATCGGTTATTCCCTCTTTGGCCACATGTAAGATTACATCAAACGTAATGTAAAAATACAACCATATGTCAATTTACATTATGTGAGCTATATATTAACAGAAATACATTTCTAACTTGTAAAACTACACTTGTATTGTTAATTTACCAATTTTTTTTTTACAGTAATCCCATGTTACCTCACGAATACTGTAAATTTATAGTATAAAAACAGGCAGTGGTATTTTTACAGCGTTATGTTAAAGAAATTACATATTTTTCCTGTAATTTTACATTTAATTTTAACAGTGTATGATGCAATTTGTAAATTTCCAATCACAAATTTTGCATCAATTATTTTTCCAATTATGTTTTGATTTCATAAATCTTTTTTATATGTCAACCATTCCCTCATTTTGATTAAGTGCATATGCGATGTGACTTCTATACCCAACATGTATCTGAACCCAACAATTAGCCAAAGATATATTATTAATACAATGCTACTAATTTAAAAAAAACAAAATTCTACCAATCTTGCTACATATCTCCTCACGGGGCTGAAACTTAAGAGAAACAAAGATCCATAGTTGGAAAATATAATTTGACTTGGGGGAAAGCAACCTAACTTTTTTTTAGATTTTTGAAAATTATATTTTCTAAGTTTGGTTCTTTGTTTCTGGTAAGTTTCAGTCATGTAACTGATGGCCATATTATTCGCCCCAGTTTTAGGGGATATACTATCGAGCGATTTAACATGGGAAAAGCTCCCAAATTTTGGGTTAGGTTTTTGAAAAATATATTTTCCAAGTATGGATCTTTGTTTATGGTAAGATCGATTTGTTTAAATGTAAATAGTTAGACAATACATAGTTGGTGGTGTGTGTGGGTGTGTGTGTGTGTAGGGGGGTGGGGGGTGGTAGTGTGCATAAACAACAATACTTATTTGAAGACCAAACAAAGGTTGTTCAACTCAAACGTGAAGTTCGTATTACTGTACGGTCAGAGCAGAGGCGAAACCAGACAGGCTTTCATAAGATAGATCCTAACGACCCGAGCGCATCCCAAATCAGGATGCAGTAGTATTTGGCATCGATGAACACAGTTGAAATTATTGTAAACAACCCAGGGAAATATAGCATCAATTATCGTGGTTTTCTTCAAGGTCACTTGCCTTTACAAACCATTTAGTTTGTAGGATCTTTACATAACTGTCTGTTATTGGTGGAAACAAGAAATTGATTTAAAATAGTAGATTTAAGGTGGCCATTAATACATCTTTAGTGATTAGTCGGGAAACAACCCCCACTAAATTAATAGACATCTGAGATTTAGTTATATATCCCTTTTCCGAACACGACTGTTTTTTTTATGTTAAAATCCATATATAGATTGTGAAAATAATTAAGGATGAAAATAAAAATAAAGATAATCTCATAATATTAGTGATATTGAATAATGACTTGACTATCATTGTTCATTACAAAATATTACAATTTCTTTACATCATATTGTATGTAATATCCTTCGAGTTTGCCAGTCTCAAAGGTAAGCGAACATGTACCGTACTATTTTATAATTAAGCACATCCTAAATGACGTGTGAAATCGGTAGAATTTTTGGATCAAATTGTTTATATAACAAAGTGTATGGTAGTGTAGTAATTATATAATTATTAGAGATGAAATAGTATCTTTAAATCCTTTATACACGCATAATGTGTAATATTTTTTAAACTGGCGGGAAAATAACACAAAAGCAATAAATATCTTTTATGACATGCACATTGGCAGTTTTTCAGTTAAAACTAATTATATATTTGAAAGATGAAACAAAGTCACCAATCTGCAATCGCTTACCTAAACATTTATATCAAAAATTCATTACTTTAATTGTTTGTTCTTCCTGGGGACTATGGAGTGGAATTGCACGACATAATTCTAACTCTTAAACTAGTAATGCATGTTTAATTCTATGCGGTTAAATTGGCTATTTTCACTACAAAAATGCTAATTTGTTTGAGATATTTCTTGAATATTGCATTCTGATTTTAATTCATTACTTTAATTGTTTGTTCTTCTTGAGGACTATGGAGTGGAATGCACGACATACACATGCAATTCTAACTCTTAAACTAGTAATGCATGTTAACTTCTATACGTATAAATTAACTATTTTCACGTACAAAAATGCTAATTTATTTGAGATATTTCTTAAATATTGCATTTTGATTTTGTATTTTGTTCTATTTCCATTATTGCTTTAATTTATTGTCATGTGTTTTTATTTAAAAGCAGTTCGTAGTGAGTTTAGTTTTGTAAACGGTTTGACATTTTACAAAATGCAACATAATTTACACACTGATTATGATAACGGATGGCGCTGTTTTAAATTATATGGTGGCTGATAGTGGCAATATTATGTCGAAATCATAACATTATGCTAGCAGCAGCCCATTCCTGAAAGCTTGTAGGCTAGTATAGAGAGTACCACCAGTACGGTAATTTAAGTTTGACAACAATCATAAAATTCATGGGTAACAACCCGCGAACTACCCTAAAAATGTGAAATTATCAACAATCACATAAGTCAGGCAGGCGCATAAATAACACAATATTGATGTCCAATGTGGCAGTCTTTATAGTTTTGTGGCCACCATCTTGGCTTTCACAATGACGTCATGCATTTTTCATCTAGCGGGTGGTTTTAAAGGACTGCTTTACCCCTAAAACCTAGGTATAGACACCAAACTAGTTCCCCCTAACATGAATAGTAAGGGCGTTATGATCAGTTAAATGGAATGATTGCCATCCTAGGCGCCATTTTGAATTACACGTAATAGTGACGTCTTAGGATCTTTTTAATCGGTGGTATCGATTTCCTATGGGTAGAACCATACTTGTTGGGTTTAGCGGTCAATATTCACACGTTATTTAAGAATTAGGGCTCTCGAACATGATTGGGCGAGGCAAGAATTCAAAATGGCGCCAAAAAGTTCCCCAAAGGGGTAACGATGGGTAACTCTATGGAAGGTTAGTACAAGACCAATAGACCATAAAAAAAACCAAGAACTATCTTTCCCGCACTTAATTCCCGCTAACATGTTAACTTACAGTTTTCCCGACCATTCTAATTATATTTCAGTGGTAACTTTAGATGGGGGGTGTCATATAAGAAGCAAGGCATTCTTACTCTTTGAGAACAGCTCATTTATCACACATAACTAACCATTTTGATTGTACTTTTAAATAACTTGGCAGGGTACTCAGTCCGAAGGTAGCATTCAATCAAGTTGCTTCGACTTCTAAAATTTAAACTCAGACATATAATCATTTTTAAAGCAAATGTTTTTCTTATACATTTAACGGTCGATATCGTGCAACACATCCATAATACGGTGGGTGTGCAATATTATTGAGTTTCCATTTGTACACGACAGATTTTGAGTTATGTACAATGGTTAGCACCATTTTAAAGTTTTGAAAATTTGAGAAGAATCCAAGCATATTCAAAAATAAATTGTTAGGCGAATTTCAAGAGAGATCATCCTGACAACCAGGCAATTTTTCTTACCATTACATCAATTTCAAGGGCAATCATTCCATAATTAATGGTTGTCGAACTTTAAATCTCCATAATAATAATTCAAAAACTGGTTAACTACATGTATGTCAAATCAGATCTGGAATCAGGTATTTCAGAACGAGTACATTTGCCCAGGATTCTAAACAGCCCGGAGCAGATTTAAATTTTGAAATTTTCTTGGTGATTTGGGAGGTTGAATTTGCACTATACGTGCAGTGCCAAGAAACTATACATAGGTAAAGTTCTTTTTAAATACTTACAAAGCAAACGACATGTTAGCCCTATGTAACAACCGATATGTATTTACAAAACACAATAATATTTAACAGATGTAACAGATGTTTATTGATCAAAATACAAAATGTATGACTCGTATTTTGGGGGGAAGAGAATGAAACAGCTGTGAAGACGTTTATTTAATTGTATATCGGTTTCTTGGGCATTAGAAGAACACGCCCTTTTCAATTTTTATAGTATGATATATAAGCTTCCATTTTTATTCCATTGATTTAAACAATGAATGACAAGCCAATGAAAATTTGAGAAGCCCATATTGTATTTGTCGTAGACCACCAAGTAAAGGTTTTTTTTACCAATATTGATTTGTATATGGTATACAATTATATAAATACAACGGCAGGTGATATAAACATCATATTTTTCCATTGAAATAAAAATATTCTCTAATGTAGGATTATACCGTTTATAGCCCAGTTCAACCAGATCTATAATAAGAAAAGTGGAACAATCTCTTTACAAAAGTAGGTGGCCGTTGCAAGAATTATCTCATTGTTTCTTGAAAGTAATATTGGCAAGCTAACTTCTGTTATTGTAAGGTAAGTTGGTCTATATAACCAAAAGTTCCTAAAATATAAATAGAGATACGTTCTTAACCATAGTCCATCGTAGTACATGTCGGTCCTGCTTTAGTCCAGTTTAGAAGCAGATTGAAAATAAATACGTTTGGAACATGTATTCAATAAATATTAAATCTCACAACAATCACATGAAGTGTTTAATTTGGGGAATTCAAAATTTCAATTTAAATTTGCAACGACATTAGTATATTGTTATACAGTTTTACTACTTTTATTTATAATGTGATTTGTAACACTTTGGAAAAAGAAAAAGAATGCGTAAAAGTTTAAAGAATTGAACATTTTCGGTTATGAATTACTTAAAAGTAAAGATAATTTTAACCGGTTTATGATTCAGAATAATAACCTCATATACCGGGCTATTATGTAGAATACTAACCTCATATCGGGTTATTATATAAAATAAAGACCCTGCGCACTTCGTATATATTATTATACCGAAGGAATAACCTCTAAAGGTCCGTACATGGATTTATTATACCTGACGGAATTACCTCTAAATTTCAAAGAAATTGGCGATATAGGATTATATACAGTTTTACATTTCAGTTCTATAGTGACATTCACCATATGTTTGACGCAATATAGCCCGGTAGGAGCTGACGTGCCATAAAACCACATTTCATTTCATTTCTATAGTGACTATAATAAGTGCAAATTTAAAAAAATGGTTAATTATAACTATATGAAAGACTCATAAAAACGTTTATTTTATTCCTGTGAAAATAAAAGGTGCTCTCGATTTTTGTTATCTTTTGTAAGAAATCCAAAATGTCCATTATTTTCACTGACAACAGGTTCAATAGTGTCTGGAAAATTCTGTCCATAAGCATACCATAGAATGTTTGTCGTGTTTAACGTATCTCTATGTACCGAACACATTTATATTTGGCCAATTTTCTTGATTATAGGAGTTTATTTTGCTGCAGGTTATTGCAAATTTTTGAGTTAAGACAAGATAAATAGGTCATTAATTGTTTACAAGTTGGCGTTTGATTTGGACACCCTGTGAAATCCGTAAATGCTATTTTAATAATTTCGATATAACATCACAATAATAATTGCTTGAAAACGTTGAGAGAATACTCGTCCAACCGTTGCCCCAATAAATTAATAATTGTTCTTCCATAAGTAGGGGGGGGGGGGGGGTATGGCCGAATGGTTAGCACGCACGCGCTGTATCACGAGGCCTGTCATTGAGTCAACTGGCGTGGTTTCGAATCCCCGGTTGTACGTGACAAGGAGTAGGGTTGCCTGTCCAACCTCGTGGGTTTTCTCTGGGTACTCCGGTTTTTCTCCCACTGCTAAAGACTCCTACGCGCAAGCGAATTATTGAAATAAAAATTAACCATGTGTTAGTCCCGAAATGACCTAGTCTGGGTCGAGTGGACGTTAACCCCATCTCTCTCTCTCTCTCTCTCTCTCTCTCTCTCTCTCTCTCTCTCCATAAGTATGTGTTGGCTCTAGGACAATTCGTCCCTGAACATTTCGTCCCCATAAAACTCATCCCTGAGGACAATTCGTCCCCAGACAATTCGTATCAGGACTATTAGTCCCATAGGACTATGCGTCCGCTAGGGCTATTCGTCCCTGGATAATTCATCCCCATGGACAATTCGTTCCCGGACTATTCGTTACCTAGGACAATTCGTCTTCTAGGACAGTTTGTCCCTGAACAACAATACTGGTAGTTCCATTATCAAAAACTGAATTAATCTTTACTTTTTATTATAAATCTCTGTTTTGATGCTAGTTTTACTTTCTTTTACATTTAGTATTAAATTTAGGCCTTAACTTAATGGTGCCTGAAGAATTTTCGGGCTAATTGATATGCATATAGTAATTAGGTATGATCAGTGACACCTTTTGTGAGTTAGAGAATCTATTTATTCCTTCACTATGGGTATTGTCCATTGTCAATACGGCACTTGACTAAAATCAATATGCATTATTGTGTCTGATAAAAAAAATGTAGACCAGACATCAGTTTGTTTCAACTTCTTCAATTTCTTTAGAATTAGCTGTTGATCATAATTAGGGGACGAAAAGACCTAGGGGATGAATTGTCCAGGGACGAATTGTCCTTAGGAACGAATTATCTGGTGATGAATAGTCCTAAGGGACAAATAGTTCTAAGGGACGAATAGTCCTAGGGGACTAATTATCCGGGGACAAATTGTTTGGAGGCAAATTATCTGGGGACGAATAGTCCTTGGGGACGAATTGTGCGGTAACGAGTTGTCAGGGGACAAGTTGTCCGGGGACGAATTGTCCCGTACCCGTATGTGACAATTGCAGAAAACATTTCTTCCGTGAATAGATAACATTATTTTTAATTGCAAAAACACAATTTTGTCCAGGATTACCTCAACAGACGAAAGTCTAATCGTGGGAAATAAATTATTGTTTGAAAAATATATTCAAACTACCAAAAAGAAGTATATTTGTAGCTAAAACACTAGCGGCTGCCAGGCAGGATACGCCCACATTTTGCAAGCTAAAAACAAACGCGATTTTTTGTACAATCAGGGGCAATAATCCAGGAAGTTATGGTCTGAAATGCGGAAATTTCAATAGGGACTGATTTCTTTGGGATATAAAGATATGTTTTAAGTTTCATCAAAGTCGGATATACAATATGACCTCTAGCGGGTCCACAAACTTCGTATTACATACTTTTACACAATTTGCGTACAAAGAGCGGCCATTTTGTTGGGCTGTTTCATTTCAATTTTCCCGAAATTCGAATTTAACCTTCATTATGGTGGAATAGTGATATATTTAAACGGTTTTTAAAATCGAAAAAAAAATGTGACCTCTAGAGAATCCGTAAACTAAAAATGCGATTTTTCAAACAATCAGAGGCCATAATCCAGAAAATTACGTTCGGATATGCGCGATTATCAAAAGGAACCAAGATCTTAGTGTGTAATGGTGATATATTCACACATTTATTTTTAAATCGGATAAAAATTGTGACCTCTAAAGGGACCACAAGCTAAAAACGTGATTTTTTGTAAAAAAATCAAGGCCCATAATTCAGGAAGTTACGATCCGATATGCGCGAATATCGGTAGGAACCAAGATCTTTGGGTTATAAACATGTATTTCAGGTTTCATCAAAATCAGATCAACATTGTGACCTCTAGGGTCAACAACCTTGATATACCAGATGTTTACACTATTTGCATATGAGGGACGGCCGATTTTCACGAAATTCGAACTCTACCAACATCACGATGTCACGGTGATATATTCAAACGTTTTTTTTTACAATCAGGAGCCATAATTCTGGAAGTTACGATCCGATATGCGTGAATATCGACAGGAACCAAGATCTTTGGGTTATAAACATGCATGTCAAGTTTCATCAAAATCGGGTGAAAATTGTGAACTCTAGAGAGTCCACAACCTTGATATACCATATTTTTACACTATTTGCGCAGAGGAGCGGCCATTTTGTCTGGCAATTTTCGTCCGATTTTCACAAAATTCGAACTCAACCATCATTAGGGTGTAACGGTGATATATTCAAACGGTTTTTTTTAATTGGATAAAAATTGTTACCT